ACTTAAGGTGAATAGATAGTAATGTTTGTGTGTACATGTGAACTTGAGAGATTAATTAAATTAAATATTTTAATAGAAGCCATAAAAAAGAATTCTTAGTACGGAGTAACTAATAACAAATCGATACATCGTTGTTTTATAGAGATAATTACCACTCCTACGACTAAAAGATGATGTGTTTCCCAACACATGACCCTATTAGTTTTTTTCCTATTGTATTACCCATATACGGCTCATGACTATTCAGGATTTTTTTAATTATTTTTTAATTCCACTGTCGCTCTCAACCATATTAAGTAAAGAGTAATTAATCATCAAGCATATTGGAAATAATGCAATTATTGCAATCCCATATTAATGCACTAACTAAAAATAAAAACCCTTTAATTGCAAGCCATCTAATGAGTTACTATTGCATTCTTAAAAAAATATTATACAAAACAATATTGCATGATATGAAAATTTAGTATCTAACTACTCACATAGACACACAAAAGCAATTACAAATGTCAAATTTATTGCACTCTTTCAAGGCATTAACAACATATACAGTGATTTCACTGCACACCGGCCTAGAGCTTCATATTTTTTTCACTGCACAACTACAACATATACGGAGTGCATTGTTTACAAATATCAGCTTCACACCATACTCAACTCTACGGCAATTACATTCGTCTCCTACTCTAAAACACAAAATACACTGATTTTGACTATTTCATACTCCGACCGATCAACTAGTATTTGCCTGCAATTTCCTCTTTCCCCTCGCCATTTTTTCCGGCTAGTACGTATGCTCTGTTCAAACTTGCTTCAACTTTAAACCTCGTTTTTTTGCTTGGATAAGTGTCGATCACAATCACGAGTTACAGTTAACATTTCTGTTCTTTCCACAATTAGAGTTCCCGAGAATCATGTTTGGTCGTAAGAGCATCTCCAATGCTACAATGTGCACGGTGCACATGTGGCATGAGAGAGATAGAGATAAAAAATTGATTTTATGACATTTCTCTCTCCGTCTTTCCACGGTCTTGTGTGTTTTTGGTAAGTTTTTCTCTGCAATGTCAACCACAATATCTACATCTAGACATTGTGCTTGACATTGTGAATAAAAACTTACCAAAATGATATAAGATCTTTCAAATAAGGAGAGAGATGTTTTTTTATTGGTTATCTCTCGTGCCACTTATGCATCGTTGACGTATTAGCATTGGAGATGCTCTTACGACCGTCCAAAGACTCCTTTCGTTAGTTTCCTTTTCCAAAGTCTAATTTGTTAAATGGACCGTCCAAGCGCACCCCATTTATTACTTAACCTAACATTACATGACTAATTTAACCTTCATCCTTTTATTGATTTGAAGATTAAAATTACCGCTTGAAGCTTTACACGTGACCCGGCAATTCAATTTTAATCAACTTCAAAATCAACGTAACTCTACAACTAATTATAACCTTTTGGTGCATATTTACACACAATCATATTTACCATGTTTTTGAAATTCATTATTATTATATCCGAAATGCCTCTCATATGTGTGCTTATATTTACCAACTTTGTTTTTCTGATATTTTAAAATTTTAAAATCATTTTTTAAAATTTTAATCATTTTAAAAATTATTTTTGTTAAGTACATTTTTAATAGTTTTGTTATTATTAACTACGGTGTATTATTTACACCGATCTTGGGAGATTAAGATAAAATTATTAATTTATTTTAGAAGTGATAAAAATTAAAAATTTGGTTTTTAAAAACTGCAATACTATTTTTTTTTGCAATACTTATTTTTTTTAAATGCCTTAAGTATATAATTTCTTCTATTACGCATAAATACACTTGAAAAGTATTAAAAATCCATAAAGTATATTTTTTCAAGTGGTTAAATAAAATAACTTGGGTAAAAAAGAGAGGAAAGATAACATTTAGAAAAAGTAAACATTTAAACTAAAAGTAATTAAAGAGATAAGTTGAGGGAGAGGAAATTGTAAGAGTTACATGTGATGAGTAGAAAAAAGAAATTGTAATAAAATGTAATTAAAAGAGTAAATAATTTCCTAAAGTACATGGAGTGAGTACTATGTAGTAGATATGATTGTTGATGGCTTTTCAAATAATGTCAATTATTAAATCTTAAAAACAATTAAGTTGACTAATATAAAAAGGGTTTTTTAAGTGAGAATGGTTTTGATTTTATAATTAATTTTTAGTAAGGATGTTAACTTTTGGACTGAAATTTGCTGGTCTGGTCTGGTCTGTTTAAGTCTGGTCTGGTCTAAAGTGGTCTAGTAAACGACTGGTCTCTGTGTATTTTATAACTACGGAAGTCTGGTCTGGTCTGGTCTGTTTAAGTGTGGTCTGGTCTGATCTGATCTGATCTGTTTAAGTCTGGTTTGGTCTGGTCTGGTCTGCGACTGAAAACATTCTTTAAGAAACTGAATAAAGGAGTGTTTGCAAGAGATTATTTTAAGGGGGTTAGGTCACCAATATTAATAATTATAAGAGATTAGACAAATATAAGACCTCTTTCTAATTTTTCCAAAAATGAGATTACCGTGTGACCATTTAGTAAGTTAATAGGATCAAAATATCAGAAATATCCCTAGTTGATTAATACTCCTTACTCTATATATACAATAACTACATATTACTCGTATGTACTACCGTACATATATATCATTCTAAAATCATACTCCGTAATGAATACATATGTACTAAATTGCAATTGTTCTAAAATCATACTCCGTATTCCGTAATGAATACGTATGTACTAAATTGCCATTGCCATTTCTTAGCTCCTTGAAATGTTATGGCCATTTTAAAAAAAGTTTTATGATTTTTTTTGTTTCCAGAATTATGGTTATCCGGTTACACGTCCAACTACTTATAGTTATCCGCTATTCCGCTCGACACCTGTACTATTAGAGTTATCCGTCGCCAATTACAATTAGTCGATCGATTATAGTTATTCGACATGTTAGTTACAGGTACCCAATACGATCAATTACAATTACTTAACCCGTTAGTTACAGTTATCTGATTAGTTACATTTATCCGACTCGTCCAGTTACAGTTATCGAACCAGTCCAGTTACAGTTACCTGACCCGTCCTGTCACTGTTAGAGTTACCCGACCCGTCCAGTTACAGTTACCCGACCCGTCCAATTACAGTTACCCGACTCGTCCAGTTACAGTTACCGACTCGTCCAATTACAGTTACTCGGCCCGTCCAGTTACAGTTACCCGACCCGTCCAGTTACAGTTACCCGACCTGTCCAGGTATCCGATTCGTACAGTTACAATTATCTGATCCATCTAGTTACAGTTACCGACCTGTCCGGTTATAGTTATCCGAACGTGACCGTTACAGTTACCCACACTGACCGGTTACAATTAACTCTAATCAGTTACCTCGGGCGGACCGGTTATAATTACCTTGTCCAATATATAGTAACCACCACCGAAAACTACCGCCGGAAACCACCACCGTTTACCACCACCCGATTGTCGGCCGCCAACCCCAACCCATCTCCAACACCAGCCCCCTGCCCCTTTTCCAGCCTATCCCAGGTCCCCTCTCCCGCCTACCCCAGCCTCACTGCCACCGCTGAGGCCTGCTACCTTGGCCACCACCGCCGCCCCCAGCCTTCTCTACATGTTCCCAACCTTCTCCGCCAACTCCCCAACCCACATCCCTTACCCAGTCGTCGCCGCCTATTCATCAAATTGGAGGGCGTCCATGGATTGGGGTTTTGCTTTGTCGATGGAGCAACTGTCGTCGGTCTTCTTCATCAAAGTCGGATATCTTCGTCAAGAAGAGAGCAACGTTGCAGATCGAAGTGAAGCTTCACCACCACCGCCGGCGTAGAATAAAATCATCGAAGAGGAAACTGCATTGCAGGTCGGAGAAGAACGTCACTGTTTTTAGTGGAGAAGAAAGCATCGAAGAAGAGGGAGGTTTCAATTTGAAAAAGAGAATGCAAGCTTCAATGGAGAACAAACTCACTCACAGAAGAAGAAAAAGATGTGCGTGTTCTGTTGGAGAAGAAAGTACGGAGTAGGTATCAACTAGAGAGGGTATTTGTGACATTTCGGATGAGCTTTAGTCCCATATATGTCCGGATAGAAATTAGTATCAAACTTGTCCACCCTAAAGCTAGCGCTCTTACTTCCGTCATTATTTCTATTTTAAGTGCTTTTAGCTTCTAGCTTTAAAAAAGCAGAAATTAGTGTTTGCAAACACTAGCTTCTACTTAAAAAAAGTGCTTTAAAAAAAGTGCTTCTTGACTTTTTTTTTTAATTAATTCAATCTTTATAGATAGTTTTAATGGAACACTTATTTAATCTAGACCAAAAGCACCCTCATTTGTACTCTTTCGTCGGACTTCATACACACAAGGATGACGATGTCTGAGGCAGCCGTAAATGACACCACCGACCGAGCTTTGGAGCAGATTTTACCACCGACCGAATTACAGAGGAAGCAATACCGGTTCTAATCCTTCAGTTGGATTGAAGGAATCAATTTGCAAGGATGGTGCCCCATACGGCCATACCCGTACCCTTAATAAATTACCGGCGCTAAGTTTTTCCCACTTCAGAGCAACTCTTGCGGCTTTGTTGATAAAAGGAATTTGGTTTGCTCGATTTGTTCTTTATCTGAATTATTATTGAATGGACAATTGGTGTTTTGCAAAGCTCTGGAGCAGACAGGAACTTGCCAGAGGATAGAGATGCTAGATGTGTTGGCTGCTAAGGGCAAATTGGTATTTTAATATAATATTACCTAAAACAATCACTTTTTTATCAAACACTCCAACTTTTACATTTTAATTAAAACCACTTCTATTCCCAAACATTACCAACTTTTATTACAAATCACTTTTCCAACAATCTCTTAAAAAAACCACTTTTAAAAAGCACAAGCAATCGCAAACACTCCCTAAATTTGAAATGCATTCCATTGTGAGCTTCTTAAGTTTTGTGAGTAAGCCACCGAGAGGACAAATCAGTCCAGTAGTGGAATAAAAGAGGTGCGCCAAGTAATATTGAAGGTGCGCCGAGAACGTCCGTTTTCACAAGTTCGGCAACTTGTGTAAAAGCACAGCGTAATAGACATCAATGACACATTTGGATATGGTTGTTCAGCCGAATCTGCGGCAAAAAGCTGATTCAAAGAGGCAACGAATTTACGCCAACAGAGAGAATGAAGAACGGATGTCTGTAGACGAAGAGGGAGACGGGGTCGACGAGGGAGAGGATGAAGACGAAGACGGCGAAGAAGAGGATGAAAAATACTGGTGGGAGGATGAAGACGACGGGATGCCGAATTGGTATCTCAGGAGTTACCTTTCACCCGACGATGAAGACCGCAAGGAGCCGATTGATGCTTGTCCGTGTCGCGCGCATAATCTTGGTGATCGCAGCAAACAGATTAATTTAGCTGGCCTTTCAGACGTGGTGGAGTTGATTAGCGTCGAGATTCGTGGAGATGGGTGTCCTGACTTGAGCAAAATCTGGGGAATTGTCGATGTTCATGGGATCTATGGACACATTTTGTTTGATGTGAAGAAAAGTGACGCAACTGCCCCCTTACCACCGTCATCTTCCAGCGCGAAACTGCAACTTCCCTTAAATCGGGGGCCTAATCGCCCGGAAGGCTGTCAAATGAGTGAGAAATATGCCATCTATGTCTGTCTGAGGGAGAAAGGTACTGGCAAATCGCTGGTATATGATGAACTTTCTGGTGAGGCTCCCTGTATGTACGCGGAACTCTATTTTGATGGAAAACTTACCCCTGCTGCCTCTTTTTCAGAAGACTTTAGAAAGTGTAAGGCCAACCCTTATGGGCTTAGAGAAGAATACCTTACTTATGGTCCTTCTAGGCTTCCAACTCCAATCTTGGCCAAGTGGATTGTTCATCCTCTTGCTCTTCGAGCTGCCATAAGAATGGAGGTTTTGTTTCCAGCGGACAAGGGAGGCAGCAATGATGATTGCTTGAAGCTTTACGGGGAGGTCACTGCTAGTTCCTGCAGAGTTAAGAAGCTCAAAACCCTGCTTTTCCACCACCAGTCCGAAGAAGGAATACAAGTTACTCGCCTAGAACCTGGAATTCCTCTTTCCAGATCAGTCGTTGCTGTGTCGTTCTTATTCTCGCTCCGACTCCAATTGAGTCTACATGTTGTGGGCAGAATGCCTTTGCCTGATGTGCAAGAAATGCTAATCTTTCATGCATTTCCAGGAAAGCATGAAAAGACTACTACTGCATTTGGTGATGGAAGTGGGGGAGTAAAAATTAAAGTCTCCATAGACCTTAGTACATCTGAGTTATTTAATCCTGACTACGCTATAGAGGCACGGAAGAGGTTTCTTAAAAAAAAATTGTAGGAGTTCAGGTGTGTGTGACGTGATATTTTATGGCATATAAGCCCGACCATCTTTTAGTGTAGACTTGTCTAAGTTTGTTCTCTTGCATTACCCATTAGAAGCAGTTTCTCTTTTTCATTATGCATCCTTCTCTTCAAGTTTCATGAATGACAATGTGCTGATTTCCATCAATCTATTTGGAAAAATGGTAAGCCCAACTGTTCTGAGTGTTTGCTTGAGTTGGAGACGGGGGATTGGGATTACATATGAACGGAGGCAAGACAACATTTCTCATTCATGAGTACCTGTAGGTTTGTGATTGCATCATTATGTTGTAAACTCTGCTTCATTGTAATACTATTAACAATTATCATTGTTATTATTATCTTTTTGTTGTTCTGTAAGACTGCTTCTGTATTGCTACTTTTGAAAAAATAAAGCATGGTCTTAGTATTTATGCAATTCTTTTCGTTGCCAAGTACGTAGTAGCTGTTTACATATTGAAGGCTGAGGCTTGAGGCTTGTAATGACGTGGCTTTAGCCATAGATTCAAATGAAGGAAAAAATGTAAAATTTTATGCAACAACCGATGCCTTATTCTTTAAATCATTTGTATTATTGTGTGTTTACATTAATTAATGGGTGTATCGATTGTTTTCTGTAATGATGAAATGCAAATCCCATGGAAGGTAAGAATTAGTTTGTTTATATTTAAACCCTTAAACATAAGGAAAAATTGATAATAATGATATTCTCAACTATTGGCGGTCCGCTTATAATAATCTCAACTATTGATTATTCCAGAACAATCCCAACTTTAGGGACTTTCCGCCAATAATGGTTCCTATGAATAAATTCTTGTAGTTTCTAAAGTGGATAAGAAGAGATATAGCAAGTAATGTCTATAAATAATCTCAATTTTTAATTTTTACGCTTAATTTCTATTTAAAATTCACTTTTTATAGGAGTTAAATCTGATCATGGACCATTATTGGCGGACGGTCCATGTAGTTGGGATTATACAAAAATAATCAATAGTTGAGATTATTTTCGGTGGAGCGCCAATAGTTGGGATTATTATTTTCAATTTTTCCTAAACATAATCCAACTATCCAAGTCATGGCATACAACTACGTTTAGGCTTGACCAAAAATGTGTTTTTGCGGGTTTGCAATGGGCTTGACTGGTTTGACCGCGGCTCTAGTTTGCTACTTTGCCCTGAAATTAATTTTTGCCACTTTGCCCTTCCCTGTTCGCGTCGAGATGTTAATAGTCAGGGGTGAACAAAAAAACCGAAAAACCGAAACTGACCGACCAAAACCGAAACCGATCAAAACCGAAACCGATCAAAACCGAAACGACAAAACCGAAACCGACCGAAAGTGACTAATCCATTGGTTATTCGGTTTGCGGTTCGTACTTTTGGCTTAAAAAACCGGTCAAACAAAAATAAACCGGCAAACACCGGCAAAAATGGCTAAAATCGATAAAAAACGATACGAATTGACCAAAATTGACTCAATTTTTGTGGTCCGATTCTCGGTTTCATCTATTTTTAAAGTCGCTAAAACCGACTGACTAAAAACTGAAATCGATCAAAATTGACCGACTAAAAATCGAAACCGACTAAAACCGAACTAATAAAACCGAAACCAACAAAACCGAACCGACGAACACCCCTATTAATAGGTGTAAACAGATAGAAACAATAAAAACATCAATAGCACCCACAAACAAAATAAGTTGATTATAAACAATTAGTCTTTTACTTGTGTATTGCACAAGATAACAACTTTTGAAATTGCCCATGAACTTGTCCAATTGTATACCTAAATCCACATTCTTGACTGCGTAAATATGGTATGGACTACATATTAATTTGTGGATTATATTTAACTACTGAAGTAGGGGCGGAGCCAGAAAAATGTGTGAGATGGGTCAAAATTTAATTATATACAATATCAAAATGATGGATAGTTATTATACGATATTTGAGTTAAATGTTTCATATGTAGCTGTGATAAATGGTAGCTTAATGGGCATTTTTCAGTCAATGTATTGATATATATGTAATTTATCATAATGTTCACACAACTAATGACTGAATAAGGTGTTTTATTTTTAAATTAAGAATATAATCAACATCCCCCATCAAATTTTGCTTATTTCAAGTTAAAGATGGTGCTGATTTTTTCAGAAGTCATAATTTTTTACTCGTAATGAGTTACGGGACCCTTAATACTTCATCCGTTCCCTTTTAATTGCAACAGTCAACATTTCACGTTTGCCATGCACAAGTTTGATCATTAGTATCTTTCCTTCATTATTAGTAAACATTTTAAAAAATTCATATTTTGAAATTTTAGAATGAGAAGAATTTAACAATATTTTTTTAAAATTTTAATTTATAATACATTAATAAATAAAATATGGTCAAAGTAGAATATGTGAATAGTGTAAAAAGTCCAATGTAGCAATTAAAAGAGAACGATGGTAATATATCAAATCGAAGGTATTTCAGAACTCTACATTCTTGAACTTTCAGCGGGGTCGGCTGACCCCCTGACCCCCCTTGGCTCTGCCCCTGTATTTAAGTGTGTACCCAAGATAGTATGCTGTCAAAAAATTAACATGTACTACGTTTTAAAAAGTGAGCCAACAATTAGAATTCTATCAACACATCCTTACAGGTTGTAGAATTCTATCAACTCACACATGTCAAAAAAATAACATGTATAAAAAATTGAGCCAACAAATTAAAATTCCGCTATATAATATCCTTTATTGAGGTTTTTGTAAACAATTGAATTCTTGTTATGCCTATTAAGTGTTTGTTAGAATGTTTAAACAATAATGGGATAATTTGAGTAAAGTATGATTTTATGAATAACAAATAAAAACTATATTCAATTTCTTATTGAATCTTTGTCAATTCGATTATACTTTTATCCTCTTAAATTTACATTTATGTTAAAATTTAACCTTCTAAACTTTAGACCTCATACGAGTGTTCAATGAAAGTTATATCTTTCGAGTTAATAGTTATAGTAATTTCAGTAAAAGTTGTGTGTTGACCGAGAATCGTAAAGAAGTTAAATTGCAATCACTAATTTTAAAGCTATTATGTCCTTTACTTGGACTGCTTTAGAATATCAAAACAATTGATATAAAAACTCAAAACAATAACCTTCAAATTGAATGGTACTAGGGGTTGAGATCATTGTGTAGTAACCGATTATTGTATCATATAGTCAGTGTTCTAAAAGACGTGAGGCGTGACGAGGCGGCACGCCCGAGCCTTAGGCCTTTGAAGCCTAGACGAGTTTAAGAGGGGGTTAGGCGTAAAAAGTCGTTTTAGTTTTATACAAATTAATCTAAACTTTATAGATATGTTAGAAAATATATAAGTGTAATATTATAAAATATCGTGCAAAACATAATACTGTTTTATTTTCCAGCAAAAATAAAATTTTAAAGTACTAAAACAACACCTATTTTATGCATCTAGTATATAAAAAGTAAGATTTGGTAAAATAAAGTTCAATGATAATATTAGCTAGGCCTATAATAAAATAATTTATAATAATCATTATAAGAATCCATAATATGCATTGGGCTTAAAAGTATAGTTAAAATTTTATATTTGGAGACGTAATGGTCACGCGTTGGGCCTAGCCCCCTTTGTTGCGCTTTTATGGGCCTTTTAAAACACTACATATAGGTGATAATTCAACTTTTATGATTTATGGCTTTGACGGTTTGACCATGAAGAAAGGGGTAGAATTCAGCAAGTTGGCCTAGCTAGCATTTTGATACACTTTTTCTACATGTTTACAATTTCGTTTATACCACTTAAATTTATAATATTAATACATTTTCATCAAATATAGTCAAAGCCTCCAAAACCTATACCCAATTCACTAAAATTAAATGATAAACTATATAATATAATTTATAGAATATATAATAGTATAAAATAAAGAAAATAGAAAGAAATAATTAGAAATACTAAAATGGAAAATTAAAACATTTTGGTTTTTAGAATTAATAATCTCATGATTTCTTTTTTAGGATGTTTTTACCTGGACTTTTATTTGCTGGTCTGGTCTGGTCTGGTCTGGAAAATGTTCGGTCTCTTTGTATTTTATAACTACAGAAGTCTGGTCTGGTTTGTGTGTTTAAGTTTGATCTGGTCTGATTTAGGACTGAAAACTGTCCAAGTAAAAACATCTTTAGATTTCATATGATAGCATTGCGGATTGACATGAATTTATTGGCATGTTAACTCGGTGAACTTATATTCTTCGTGGGTAATTTTTTTTAAATTTAAAACATGAAATTCAAGTGGTCAAGTTAACATCGTGCAGTGCCAGAACTCATTAGCTATCGAAGAATTAAAATACTCCAATACCCTGCAAACAGGGGCGGAGCCAAGGAGGGTCAGGGTGGTCAGCCGACCCCCTGAAAATCGAAGAGTGTAGAGCTCTGAAGTATCAACCCCTAACTCATAACGAGTAAAAAGTTATGAGTTCTGGAAAATCAACATTATGTACACGTAAAATTAGCAAAATTTGATGTCTACTAATGATTATTTTTCCAAATTTTAAAAATAGCATATATATCAAAAATAATAATATATGTTCATGTCCATGCATGTATATCATTTATTAAAAAAAGTGAATTTATGTGGTTGATATTGAATTGGTAAAATAAGAATAAAATAAAAATGATTTAGAGGTACGCAAATTTTGTAGGAGACAATCTTATTTAATGTTAAATTAAATAATGAAACAACGCGCTAAGGATGTTTTTAATTGGATTGTAATTTGTCCCAGACAAGACCAGATCAGACCAGACCAGACCAAACCAGACCAGATCAGACCAGACTTGGGTAGTTATAAAAATACAAAGAAATCAGACCAGACCAGCCTAGTTCAGACCAAACCAGACCAGTTCAGACCAAACCAGACCAGCAAATTACAATCCAAGTAAAAACATCCTAATTGTATATTTGATTATATGTATTACTCCGTGTAAAAAACAGACCAAAAGGAGGGCGGGTAGAGATGGCAATTGTGACCGATCCAAGTGATACCCGCACCGAACCGCCCCGGTCAAAACGGGGAAAACCGCATTGACCGGGTAACGGGTATGGGGCGGGGAATACCCGTTTTGTTTTTACGGGTAACGGGGCGGTTACGGTTTTATACATGCCCGCCCCATTACCCGCCCCGTACCCGCCCCGTTTATTTTAGTTATATTTTTATTACATTTTTATCTATTATTTGTCCCATGAGTAATAGAAGATGAGATTTTTCTATTTTCATTGAGTATATGGATAATAGATGTACTAACTATAATGTTTCCATGAGAGTTCATAATAGATCTTAATAGTCTTGTTTGATTATAATCATATTTTTAGTGAATAATTATGTTTTCAGATTATGTTTTTTAGGTTCAAATTAATTTATGTTGTCTTCTTTCTCGTCTTGTAGATATACGAAACTTTAAAGGGGCGTCTCATTCTAGAGTTATCTAGGTGATGCTATTTTTTCGCCTTTTAAAATATTATTTTTATATTAAAATA